CCCAGATAGTTAGTGCTGATCCAGCACTCCAAGCCAAAACATCGCCCACTCCAGAAGAACATCTGGATCCATTCTTCTTCTTCTCGCAACAACACACAAGGCTGAAGTGAGCTTGACTCGAGCACACAGAGCATAACATAAAATGCACGAAGATAACACAAACATGAATAATACATGAATAATAATCAGTAACCATGAAATGTCTCCCACACATTGTTCGGATTAAGAAACGTACTTTAACGATATTAAACAAGCATTAGCGTGACGACTTTAGATTTTACCCCCAGCATGCACTTCATCGCTGTAATGACATCTTGAACAAACAGTGTCCTATCACCATAACTGATCAGTTATGCAACACCAAAAAAATGCAGTTTTTGAACAAAATGTCTTCAAATAAAAAGTTACTTTCGGCTGCTGCCGTATTCACATGGGGTAATCACCACAGCAGGTAGCTCCGCATGTTTGATTTGGCAGATTTTGAATACCGGATTCCCTTCATGATGCAACCCCAGAGGGATTTGTGTCTCCTCCAGGGATCCGACGGCTATCTTCAGTTTAAAGTCAGCTACACCTAATGCAGTAAAACCAGTAATGAGTCGCTGGTTTTAAACTGAACTGATTAATCAGAAGATAAAAAAGAACATGAATAGAAAGCAGCTGTGTATTTTTTACACTTGCTTTCTCCTAAAACAGTCAAATAGTATCTGCATGATCGCTATGGAAGACTTTTCTCCACATACAGCAAGGCAAAATACGCCTGAGGGAAGGCAGAAAACGTAGAACCAGTAAGGATGGCTGGAAAGTTCTGATTTCTGGCTCACTCTGCCTCATCTTTTCACACATGCAGAAGGATCTCAGGTCATTCTCAATGACACGCACCATAATGTGGAGCTGATCTGTGGTGTGTAGCTGAGGCCAAACAGAGGTGAGAGGAGACGGATAAAGACCAGAATGGCTGCCCAATAGAGGAAATCAGGCTGGAAATACAGATGGATGCACATTTCACTGTATGAATTAGCTCTGTTAAGGTCATTACATTGTGTACACTGCTGCAGTACGTATCAGCTGACCAGACTCTAACTCTACAACAATACTTAAAGCCATAGTTCATACAAGTCTCAACCTTTCTTTGACCCGAGGTCCAATCGAACTATAAAGTCTATTTAAGGTCTCTCGGGCATTTATGTACAAGACTTCTGCACTACTAGCTAATAAAATAAGGTACACAGTCAATAAATTGACTCCGTAGCTTTTTGCAGTGTAGCAGAAACACAGAGACTGAGACGGATTTAGACAGAATCAGGATCTTCAGTGGATGTGTGCTGCCGGAGAGAAAACATTTACAAAAAAGATGAGAGGAGCGCGAGGGATTAGCATGCAAAGGATGGTGAGACTAAAGCGGCAGCATATTCAACACTTTGTTTTAGTACTGTCAAAGTTTTTCTGCGTGACTCAGCTGAAAGCTGTCCCAAAAACTGCACATCCAAGAGACACTGTCTGGCCTGTACGGCTGCTGAGGCAGAAAGCGAGGAGGGAAGTTTGTGGGAAACATTTCAGCCTTTACAGTATACCTCGCACTTGACTTGGGGGTGAGTGGGGCTGTCCTAATATCTGTATACATTTTTACATGATATAAAGTGTCCTACTGAAATATCACTGATACAATTCCTTTCTCTACCACACAATGACAAGACAAGCCCAGACATGTCTGAGACTGAGAGCAGCTGGTTACCCTCTGATGCTTTCCAAAACATAAAAAAGTGTTCCCACTAAAGGTGGAAACAACAAACCTGTTTCAACAAACCTTGAGGCACAAAAGGACCGTTGAGTCTGCTATAAAGGCATGTAAGGAGGAGATGCTAGCAGCTGGTGATGCGTAACGCAAATGGAAGCAAACGACTCCGCCAGCATCACTGGAGCATTTGCCCGTTACACTTTGTATGACAGGAAGAGCAAACAGCTGATTAAAAAGCTGAACCCACCATCATAGGCAGGAAATATTTTTTTACATTTCAGTTTTATTATGCAACAACATTGTGCAGCTCATAAACTTTACATGTTTCACTTACTTTAGTTACCGTTAGACTAAAGCAGCTGTGTTGTAGTTTGACTTTCCTGATTTTCATTCAAAACACTACGTAAGCTTCTTTTGCATTGACAGTTAACTTATGCTACGTCGCTATAATCCTCCTGCTGCTGCTGCTGCCACTAAGTTTTAATAGGTTCGCATAATGACAGCAAACAGTTGGAAAAGAAAGATGGAAATTAATTTTATCTGCACTAATAAATGCTGCCGTCTATAAGCTGCAATCACAGATAACATCTTGTTTCTTTTTCTACACTATCAGAAATATCTTTATCGTAATATTTCCCAAAATATCGGTGATGTAACTTTGAGGCTACAGAAGAACGCCACGTTTACATGGATGTCATGAAAGACATGAGGCTCTTCGCTTTTGCATTACACACCTGAAACTCTGACATCCCTGTCACGCTGTATTTTGACTGTAGTAGCAGGTTTTGATAACAGTGATCAGAAAATGTGGATTTGGAGCCGAGTCTTACAAATGAAATGCTAAGAAATGGCGTGTTATTCAAGGTGTTAACCAGCTGAGGTATTTTACTTTTTAAATGCAGCCACATAGATCAATTATCCACCCTTTCTGTTGTGTTTTTCTTGAAGCCTCTTAGTCACCACTGGCACATTCCTTAAACAAAGGGACTCTTAAGTATTCACATTCTGAATGAGGAATCCAGGGTCGGCATTCAGTTTTTCACCCTTACTTGTACTTATTAGAGCTTTGTAACGGCCTACGAGGTGCCCCATACTTTTTGCTCTACTTTGCCTGCTTCACGCAATTTTCTCATCCAAGGACACTTTGGCGTGTGGACCGAGGGAGCTGGCAATCACTCAGTTCACTTCCACCAACAAGGTGAACAAGGAAAGCTAGATACATCACCATTAGCTGTTTTTAACCCCATTTAATGGATTTTTCGCTTAAGGCGACCCTGATACAGTATAATGAATATTGCAGCAGACCCATAACTTTTCAAGCTTAATGAATCTGGCTTTCAGAAAATGAGGTACACTTGACATGCAAACACATTCTTCTCGTACAAGGTTATCATCCTGCACGCCTCACTTGTTCATTTAAACAAAAGCGAAAGAACGAAAGATTATCAAAAATCAGCCAGAAATCTCCGCTCTAATTCCAAATAAAGTAAGATGTGATTAAAAAAAAAAAAAGGACCAATCTTATTAAGACCTCACTGCGCTCTTTCTTCCTTTTTCTTTTTGTTTTGTAAGACTATTTTGTCTTTCATGGGAGCAGTAGTCTCTAATTTCTCCTGGGAGCCACAAGCTGCTGCTATCTCAGCTGTGTTTACTAATCTTCCCTCGACACCAATTTCTCAGCCCCGCAAAGTTAATACTGGTCCAATGTAAATAGCCTTATCTCATAAACTCTTGTTATTCCCCCCACCTTAGCTGCCCAATGTGATACATGGTTAGAAGTCAACACAAGGGGATTAAGTCAGAGAGGAGGAGAAAAAGACAAAAACTTCCTGTGTCTGTATCTGCGGTAAGATTATCCGCCTTAAATAACACGGCAGAGAAAATGTCAAGTTATAACACAATGAAGAAACGCTGCTGTCAATATACAGTGACAACATTTAGGAGAGGAACATGAATAATACAGGGGTTCTTGCGCAGGGCTGAAGGATGAGCGTCTAATAAATGAGACAGAATTTGTCCCCTGGTCGACGAATCGATCGTGGACTGACGCTCACAGCCGTCGCGTGCAGATTACGCTACCTGCCTCATTCCACCTGTGCAGGTCTGTTCCACCGATGGCTCTGGATTGTTGTAAATGCCATGGCAGTAAGTTTTAATTAAACCCGAAGGGAAAAGTATTAATAATCTCATTGCCTGCTGTGAACTGGATGGGGGCTGCAGGCAGATTCTCGCTCGAATGCTGATGATGTGTGGCTGAATGAAGAGTGATTTGGGATTAAATGTGAGATTTATCGAGTTCAGAAGTGTATTTGGATAACCACCTGCAGACAAGAAGCAATTTTAATGCTTTAAATCAAAACCACAAGTACCCGGCTTTTAAATTACCCCTGCAGGGTGTTTTTGACCGTTTTCAAAGGCTACTTGAGTTGATAGTTTCCAAACGGACAGAATGTTCCCTGAAGCCTGCGTTTATTTCTTTTTAGATGATGTATCTGATTGTATCCTATCTTGTCATCTCTCCATCTGTTCCTCTTAGCTGCCCCGTCTTTATGTCTACCGAATTAGCTCTGTTCTACCAACAAATCATACCAGTGCTTTCTTTGAGGCTTAAAGAAACGGTTCCTCCTATTTAGTGTGCAAGTGCTCTCCCCATCCTCTTGTAAAATGAAAACTTAAATGTACGTCTGTGTCATGGATTTGTTGCATTCTCATTACCATATCACACACTGATTGATTGGTTAAACCCGAGGGAGGTCAATTTCTTAATCATATTCCAAGTTTTCCCCCAGTAGAAGTAGTTTACCAGAGAGAGCACTGCAGCCACTGGTATTTTATGCTGAGAAGCTGAAACAGCAATCTTCTCTTTGTCAGATCCCTGTAGGTATTTGTTAATGCAGAGATGGAGGAGCGCCTTATAAACTATGCATGCCATCACCCTCTGGCAACCACCAGTGGAGAAGATGATGGCAGGGAAATGCTGGTTTCCATTAGTCCTGTGAGGCTGGTTAACATAAAATTATCCTTGGGGTTAGCAGGAAGCAGATAAAACCAGGGTGAGGGCTTCATTAAATTTGATGCATAACGTACACAGGACATTTTTAAAGGCCGATAATGCCAGCCACATTAATACAAACAAGTCTATGTATTTCCCAGACATGAAAGCAGGGCGCCTGTGTCCCATGCACGCTCGTGTGCCGTGTTTCAGTGTCTAAAAACACTACAAAGTAAAGAGGACGGGGAACCATGAGAACAGAGTACTCACCCTTCAGCAGGTCAGAGTTGGCAGAAGGTGAACTCTGTGTCCTAAACAACAGCCAGTCAAAGTCATCCTCCTCTCCTTGGGTGAAGTCACACAGATTAGGGTCTGAATCCTCTTCGAACGTGCAGCCAGCAGCTAAAAGGCGAGAGGAAAACGTCAACTGACCATCAGTGACAGAAACAACGTGCATCAAGACAGATTCACCTCAAAGGTTAAAACTCCACACAGGTTAATACACAATTTTCTACTTCCATTGAAATCAACAGCCTGTTTAGTGTTGAAGACGAATAAGAAAACAATAAACTAGATATTTGTTTAAGAAGCCATAACTAGCGAATGCAGCGGTTATTGTTTCAGCTTTAGTGTCATGGTAATTTTATGAGTCACAACTTAATGCGACCTGTTTTTTTAAATCCCCCCGGGACTTCTTCCTTTTATGGAAACTGGGGAAAACAAACACAGCTTCACAATGTCTTCCTCCTACATCTTCCAATCTTAGCTGCCAGCCACAACTAGATGTGCATCAAAGCCACACTGACCACCTCTCGACGCTTTCTGGCCAAATAAATAGCCTCAGCTCAGTGTTGATGCCAATGCCAACGACACAGCCCCGGTTTCAAGTAATAACTTAGGTGTAACAAATTGGTACAATAACTGTGACAGGGATTGCAACTTGTGTCTCTCCTAGAGTCATTTTTTCACACATAACAATTACAAAGATGTTTCACTGTGAATGCTACATTATTTGTGCTAAAATTCAATAAAGTGATCAAACAACACCGCTGTAGCAATTTGCAGACAAACTGCTGTCAGAAATCAACAATGTGACCACCAGTCACATTTTAATGCAGGCTCAACCCCATGTCGTTCTCAGTGTGCATTTCAAGCACACCAACTTGTTCTCATATGAATAAATTCTCTCCAACCAAACCGACAATAAGCCCGAGCCATGTGAGCGATAATTACCTCAAACTCGCACAAAAAGAAACAAAGCCTGGCAAAAGCAATGATTACCCCTGAATCTGAGGAGAAATACCCCTCCCATAAAGCATTGACAAACAAGACTACACATCCTAAAGCCCTTTCACAAAAGGCATATACAAATAGCAATAACATTTGCAGAAAGCAGCCACTCTGGGGAATGTAGTGATTATAATAATACCTCACAACCTGCTATTCTATGCGCCAAAAAGCAAATTTTTTCAAATTATATTTAATAGCTATGGCTTTAATGGCCCTTGGGTCCAGAATAATGTGCTTCAGTTGTTGCTCTCTGCATCTGTTGCCATATTTCACATTAGTCCATCGGCATGAGAATTACACTCTAACAGTGGGCAGTTTGAACTGCTCAGTCATAAGACCAGAGGTTGTGTCAGTACTAATTGGAGCAGGACAGCACGAAACAGTCACGCTAATGACAGGAATAACCACAAGCAGGTTCTGAAGGTGACCTCTGTGATATACAACTTTATTGCTGCTCTTTTTTCTCTAATCCTCAATTTTGAAAAATGGCTTCAGTATGACAGGCTGCAGAGAAAAACACATGCAGCCTTTCTGCAGTGAGGATTCATAACTCTGTTACTATTGTGACCGCTCCAGTTGTTATAGTTAGTTAGTTATAGGGCAAATAATATTGTAGCATCTGATTTTTTTTTTATCCTGCGGTGTGTGTGGGTGATTTTCAATGCCGTAGTGCAAACAATCAAATCAGAGGCTGACTGACTGTCACATTTAGGGCATTGATCCCACAACAGTTGAGATGACACTACTTGGGGGGGTTGATCAGATCAGTGCCATTCCAGCTTTTCATTAAATCTAAAAGCACTCCTGTTTCAGAGTGAAAACTACCATTTAATAAATAAAAAAGAAACTAGATTCAAAGCATCGCAGGACTTGCCCCCAAAAAACCTAGAAATATTCCTGCTGTGTATCAACAGCTTGTCTGATAATTGACAGATCAGAGTTCCTTACAAAGATGAGATGCACAGCTCTTTCTTGCAGCTTGTCGAACTGCAGCTACAACTCGAGGCTGCTGTTGGAGGCATCCTGCAGTTGTGAAGGTCGTCTCTAAAGAAATTACACTCACGGTCTGTTGGCTTTGCAAGTGATGGTACATCTGCTGTGATGGGCTGCTAGAGAGGAACGACCACTCTCCCGAGTGAAAAGACCATCCCTAACGTGACATCATTCACGAGTTAAAACTTGTGGTCCATGATGATGTAGACCACGTTACAGATCTGAGTCCTTTTCACATACTTATTTGCTCTAAAAGTCTACTGTTGTAAATGGAGCGGAGGGTACTTCAACATGTATGAAAAGCAGAAAAGGTTGAGCATCAAAGCAGTCTTTTGAATATTTCTTTTACAGCATAATATTTTTTTTTAATTGACAGCATGTTGTGCTGTTTAAATTTGAGCTTACTGCATATTAAGTACTGAAATTAAATGGCACAAGTAGGCAAAGAGCACAGAAGGGGGTTTCATTCTGGCACGCTAAACTGCTGACTGGATCATCTGTGTCTGAAGAGAAAAACATGAGACGAGGCATAGTGCACATAACAATTTCATTAAAAAGAAATTATAATATCCTTGTATTGTAGGGCAGCACGGTGGCACAGTGGTTAGGACTATTGCCTCACAGCAAGAGGGTCCTGTGCTCGACTTCACCACCTGACCAGAGTCCTTCTGTGTGCAGTTTGCATGTGGTCCGATATGCACTTAGTGGGTTTGGTTAGTTGATGATTCTAAATTGCCACCCATCAATATGACTGTGAGTGCAAATGGTTGTTTGTCTCTGTGTAGCCCACTGACAGACTGACAACCTGTCCAGTGCGTACTCCCCCTCCTGCCCTATGACACTTGGGATAGGATAGATGTCATGTTGACAGCAGTAAAAAATAGCCTATTCTAACAGACTTCAGAGTATATATGACCATTCTGGCTCCTGAACTATATTTGCAGAAATAAATAAGTAGAATTAAAATGAACAGATTTCCGGTTTCCTGTCTTAGATAAGGGAATCTCTGATTTAAAAACAAAAATCAGGTTAAGGCACTAAAACTAAATTAAAGTTAACCCGCTGACTAATTTAGCAACTCAATCCTCTTCTCTTTCTTCCTGTCATGTGGCAAACACCTCACAAAGGCAAAAAAAATGTCCCAAACTACACTTGAAAACAGACAAAAACAACATTAACCATATAAAGCTACACTAGCAGCCGTATAGTGGCATAATGAGACAAATAGATGCTTTGACGGACATGCTAACCTGCTTAAAGTACCATCCAGCCTTCTGATTTATAAAATTATGTGTTGCTGCTGTCTTGTTTCAAAGGTTAGCACCAGTCCAATTTATTGAACTGCAGCACAAACAAACACTTAGGGTGCCCTTGCCTACGGCCAGCCTATTACAATATCGCTACAGCCTTCACTGATTGTATGATAGCACAGGAGCACGTTTACAATCATGTAAGCTTGGTCCATTGGGTGACGGTAGCAGCCAACCAGGAGGGGTGGGAGTGTGTGCATCACCCTCTGGGTTTGATTTATTGCCCCATGCTGGGCTGTTACTGCACAGATCTGCTGCTGAGGCCAGGGGTTAATTGTCCCGCACTGGGGTCTATTTCTAATAGAACAGCCAGAGATATGGGACCTGACACATCCAAACGCTGGCACTATATTATTCCCCGCTGCTTCAGTAAATGAAGCACGCAGACTCCTCCCTACAAAAGTCTCGGAGAAGGAAGCCAAAATCTGAGGCCAGAGCTACCCGGGAGTGTCATCTCCTTTAGAGCACACTGGGAGAGATCCAGCTCATCTATCATGACAAGCACTCTCCCTCCGCTGCTCCTTCTGGAGGACCAATGGATGTGCGGGGTGTCAGTGGCCATTTTTTACCTGAATAATTACAGCATAATTTAGTGCACTGACCAGTGCATAGCTAGACACCGCCAAGGTTTGGTGGCTGAGAAAAAAGACTCATTTAAGAGCTTGAGCCACTGTTCATCCTGTTGTTGGCTGATGTATGTATTTGGCAGCATTTCCATGTTAAGCATAAAATGAGATGTTACTACTTCTTGGATAAACACTTTCTAGGAATGACACAAATGAATAGAATGAATCAAGATAGACGACAACGTCCAGTCTCAGTGTTGAGGCTTTCCATTTTTATTACAAATGAAGTGGCTGATCTGCTGTCAGCCCCTTCTTCTCTCAGCATTTGCAGCTTGCAGAACCAGCAATAAGGCTTTTTCTAAAAGATTTTCTTATGAATCTTCCATGTTTTTTATCGTAATCCCAATAATGTAAATTTTAAATGCATATTTAAATTCATAATAATTATTTATTAGCAGCACGGTGGCACGGTGGTTAGCACTGTTGCCGCACAGCAAGAAGGTCCTGAGTTCAATTCCACCATCAGGCCGGGGTCTTTCTGTGTGGAGTTTGCATGTTCTCCCCGTGTCTGCGTGGGTTCCCTCCGGGCACTCCGGCTTCCTCCCACCGTCCAAAGACATGCAGCTTATGGGGATAGGTTAATTGGATAATCCAAATTGTCACTAGGTGTGAATGTGCGAATGAATGTGAGTGTGAATGGTTGTCTGTCCATGTGTGTTGGCCATGCGACAGACTGGCGACATGTCCAGGGTGTACCCGCCTCTCGCCCTTTGACAGCTGGGATAGGCTCCAGCGCCCCCCGCGACCCTGAAAAGGATAAGCGAATGGATGGATGGATGGATGGATAATTATTTATTTACTTGCCAAATCAAATCAAATGTTTTACTTTTTTGAAATCTGACCAGCCAACACCAGTCAACTGCTTGTTAAGGCAAATATCTAATCAGCCTGTCACACGGCATCAACTCAGTGTGTTTAGGCATTCAGACATGTTCAAGACGACCTGTTGAAGTTCAAACCAAGCATGCAAATGGGGATTTTCCAAGAGCAATCGTCTCTCGAGTGCACAGAGAGTGGTCAGAAAAAGAAAAAAGCTCAAAAAAGGAAACAGAGGCTACAATTCACCCCAACAGAAAACTTATCATAATACTCATCCATAATACTTTCTATCATTAGCTCAGGCTGGTTGTGACGATAATGGTGTGGAGGATATTTTCTTAGCACACTTTAGACCAGTTAGTAC